TACCCAGATTACAGTGGGAGCTGGGCTTCACTGAGACAAGTACCAAACGCAGGATATTTACTCCACGGCTGCTCTAAAAAAAAAAAAAAAAAACCTGCCCAGGAGAAACTTGTTCGTCAGTAGAATACTTTGTTTTATGTGCAAATTTACGAGCTTTTTTTTCTTTGCGTGTTTGCTCAGAACCAATCAACACCTCTGATGTTAAAGCTGGACTTAGTTAATTTCCGCTCGACTTGAACTGGCTGAGAGCTGACCTGCCGTTAAATTTAACGACACTGAATTACAGCACTGTAAGGTTTTATGTGCATAAAAGTATTTTTAAATTGTAAGCTTTTTTTTTTACCAATTTTTGTTTTTAAGAGTAATTACGTTTTAAAGTTTCAACTGCCTGTTGGAAAGAGAAGCCATCAGAGAGGGACTTGGGCACAGACACACAGCGTCGTTCCTTCCAGTCTGCTGGACAATCGGACCAGTTAATTGGTGACTTTGAAGGGGCCACATGAAGCTGTCTGATTGGCCGCTGCCCTCGGCTATATAAACATCTAACGTTGCTGCCTGAATCGTTACTGAAAGAATTCTCAACGTTCTTGACCAAAATAGCCACCAAAAGTACCTTTTAAAAAAACAATTGTAGCAGCTGCGCTAACGTCCGACTAGCAGAGCAGCAGCAGCAGCTGACCAGGTCACCGCCTGGGCATCATGGGGCGGGCAATTCTCACTGCTGCATACAGTATGTTATCTGTTAGCTCCTCCGCTGCCCTCCCGGCACTGATGCTTCACAGACGAGCGTGGACTACAATGAGGCTTCTCCAGAGGGTTTCTGGGCATTAAACAAAGGGGCCTGTTGGTAGGAATACAGCTAGCAAACAGCTGTGCTAATAGAGTGGGACTAATTAAGCACAGGGCTGCTCTCTACTTCCAAGCTTGGAGGATGTTTACAAAGATCTCCCAGAGAACAGGGAGGAGAAAAATAAGAGGCGTTCGTCTTTCTTCTCCGTCGTCTTTGTCTGTTCTTCAGGGAGAGATGAGCTGAACACCCAGGGCTGATTTTAATGACATGTGTGAAGCAAATGTGATGTGATCCTCCCCTTCATTTTATTTTCTATCTGCCAATGGAATGCTCCAGCACTTAAAAAATACCATTGTGGTCGAGAGCATAAACGGCATGAGCGAGAGCTCAGCATGTGAGTATTGTCGCCACATGCAAAAATAAATAAAATAATATGTATATATATATTTTCTTTTATTGCACATATTGCCACTAGGAAACAAAGCTTTTTTTCTTTTATTGCACAGATTGCCACTAGGAAACAAAGTAGTGCAGAACATCTGTTCATACATTTGAATCACACAATAAGGAAGAGAGGAAGCTAGAAAGTCAAGAAAAAAACTCAAAATATTTCCGGGTTTTAAGGAAGTCGAACTGAACTCCTAAAGTAACGAGAAAACATAGCGAAAAAAACCTGATGTAAATGCATTTTGGGTGGGGTCGTAGGCTAGGCTAGTCATGCCTATAATATCGCACTATATCGTATGGTTGCCCCTGTATCGTGATACGTATCGTAACACCAGATTCTTGCCAACACACACACTCCTGATGTAACACCAGATTCTTGCCAACACACACTCCTGATGTGCTAACTGTAGCATGTAGCATGCTCCATCCGTTAACAGGAATCAAATCAATCGTGTAGCTAACAATCCTATTTAGAGGACAACAGACACAATAGACCGCTCTGATCAGCGCCTCTATAAGGCTGCGCCCGGCTTCAGTAGAACCTTTGTGACCTGAAACAGACCGCGTGAGTAAAAGAGTGTGGAACGAGGGATGGAAAATGAAGAAGAAGAGGAAGTAGGGAAGGGAAGGGAGGGAGAGCGAGAGTGAGAGCCATTAACTGCGCTGCGGCACAGTCTCAGGCAGAAAATGAGGAAAGTGTAGAAGAAAGACAGAGGGAAAGGTCAGTGAGAAAAAGCAATCTGTTAAAGGTAGAGGAGAAAAGAAGGTGAGGTGAAAATAACACTTAAACCCGAGGTGGGGGTGGGGGGGGGTACGGGGGGCCAAGAAGGAGGAAGAGGAAAGAGGGAAAGAATGAAAGACCAGGTCAGAAGAAAGAAATGGAAGAAAGTCAGATGAGAGAAACTGGAGATAAAGGTGGATGGAAACTGTGGGAGAGATGGAGGGAGAGGGGGAATCGTAAGAACAGAAGGGAGAAGGAAACATCAGGGAGGAGATGAGACAAAAGAATGACAACATGAAAAAAAAAACAACAAAAAAAACAAAGAGGAAAAACAGAGATGTAAAAAAGGGGCAGATGGGGACAGGGGAGCAGAGTGAACAAAGAAGGGGTGAGAGAGGGAGGAAAAAAGGGAGGATAAACAAGGGTCGTGTTCTAGAGCTAGAGTGGGAGGCAAAGAAATAGAACTAGGGGGAGGAGAGAAAAGAGAGAGAGAGGGAGAAAGAAAACTGACTGAAAATAAAAGAGAGGCGACGAGAGAGTAGGTGGGAGACAAGGGAAAAGTAGAGGGAGGAAGGATGTAAAGATGAAAGAGGAAGTAAAAGAAATGACAGAGATACAGAGAGAGGAGGAGAGAGGGAGAGGGAGAGAGAGCAGAGAAATAACAGCTTCCTGGGATTACACAGTGACTGACACACAATTTACCCCGACCAATATGACGTGGCTCTGATATCACTTAACATGACAACCTGAAACCAGTCCAACATGTCCTCTGGTGTTTAGTGTCACACACACACAAACACACACACACTTTGGTTCTTGTGCTCTGTAGGCGCCTCACACAGACGTAGAGCGTTCCCTAGCACCTATTACAAATTATACATCTTAATCCTTAATCCAAACTCTGAATCTGACTGTGATTCTAATCCTAACTCTAATCTTGAATTTCAAAACACCCTCTCACTGTGAAAATGTCCTCAAAACAAGTGTATTTATCTGTTGGAAAAAAAAAGAGAGAGTCCTCACAAGTATAGCTATAACCAGTTTACACACACACACACACTTGCAGTGAGTGACATCAGACGGTCTGCAGGTGAAACAGAGACAGTGTTCACTGTGACCTGGATCAGACTGCAGGCCTTTAGAGTGAGAAGAAGAAGAAGAAGTGACAGCGCCGGGCCAAAAAAAAAAAAAAAAAAATCATTCAAACAGCTGGAATGAAAAATGTCGAACTGTCAGAGGCGCCGCAGGTTTCAATAACTGAGAAAACCACACGTAAACCGAAACCTGGAATCAGTGAGTCGGTGAGTCAAGATCAACTCCACTCTCTGTCTCTGTCTCTCCAACATCTCCTTCACCAGACGTGGAAATCACCAACACACAAACAACACACGGAGACTCTCTCATCCAGGGTTTTACCCTCAAATCAACGTCAACAAACGAACAAAACAATAACCGGGGGGGCGGAGGGGGTGTGTGGTGACGACAGGAGAGATGGAGTGTGGGGTGAGAGGATGAGAGGATGAGGAAGAGGGGGAGGGGGAAACATGAAGAACCAGAGCCATAATAGGAAAGATGTGGAAAAATGAACTGTCATCCTGGTCAATAAAGGGCAAAGGTTACAGAAGCCAGAGTCCAAACCAGGCACAGAGTCTGTTCATTAGAGTGACCAATCAAATCCCGCCTGGCTGCCCCCAGACCATTAGTCATCAGAGGACACACACAGACAGACACACACACACACACAGACATGTCTTTGTGGTGCTGTGAGTCCAGTCTTTTAACACTGTCCTCTCTCCATATTATCACTTCTGTCTTTTCTTTCCATCTGAACCCTCGGTCCCTCAGCTCTTTTGTCAAAGTGTTACTAAATATTGAGCAACACAGACGAAGACACAGGGGTGAGACGGGGAGAGAGAGAGAGAGTGTGTGTGTGTGACAAAAAAAGGTGTGTGTGTGTGTGTGTGACAAAAAAAATAAAAGAAATCTCAGTGGATGTGGATTTGAATGAACTATAAACTGATCGACTTAGAGTCAAGTAAATCCACCCGTAAATGTTTGGATTTTTTTCAGAATCTTGAAGTAAAATCCAGTCAATCTCCAACCTAAATAATTTCTTCTGCTTGTGTTTACTGTAATATAATGTCTGTCCACTAGGTGAACATGGTGTGTGTGGATGTGTGTTGATGTTGACCATATAAACAGCTGCTCATTGGAGAGGAAGGTGGAGGTGGTGGTGGTGGAGGTGCTCCAGCTCTCCCCTTCTCCCACCCAGGCTCTGCCTCCTGGCACTGGCAACCCAGCAAAACTGCTCTCCTTGACATCGCCTTTAATAATAAATGAACTGGCTCTGGGTTGTTTTGTTTTGTTTTTTTTCTTTTCACCTACAGTTTGTTCGCAGTGACACCAGACCAGCCCACAAACCATTGTTGGTCTCATCAGACAACAAACACAACAAGAAGATGGAGACGAGGCCGAATAAAATGGTAAAATATTTTAAAAGTTTTTTTCATTATTTGGGTTGTTATTATACTGGAAACGTGTATTATTATTATTAATAATAGTTTTTTTTTATTATTTGTTTATAATATTTATTTTATTTTGTGAGGTACCCCTGGGGGCAGTCGTTTGCTTTTTTTAAACACTGCTGGTTCTGTATATCATAACAAATATCTATAATTATATTGCCGTTTCTGCAACTTGTCCTTTTGTCTAACTGTGGCAATCTGACAACCACAACAAAAAGCCTTTTTTCTTCTTCTTCTCTAAGAGTGAGGAAACCTCTTGGACGAGATGTGAAACATTTTCTAGAAAACTCCGCCTGGGCCAAAGAATCCTGAAAGTACAGTACACTCCAGAGGATACCCTGAGCTGGATGACTGGGAATCTTCACAGACAACTGTCAGCGCTTCAAAGTCCTCCATCAGGACTGGATTTTATATGTCCTTGATATATAGTTGCTGATTTTATAAACATTTTGTTCTTCACCTCCTCCGACGCATGAGCACGCAGATACGTAGGAAAATGAAAAAAGTGGATTCTGACCTTGTTCGCTGCTGTTGTCGCCGCTGTGTGACGTGTGTCCACCGCTGGACGGCCCTGGCGTTCCTCCGGAGCGCGTGGACCCTGTGTCATCGTGATCTCTGTTCCAGGACGTCTGTGGAACAGAAAGGAGCAGAGACGGTCAGTTTGTTGTACTTATTTCCTTTCATTTGCCCCCCCCAAAAAACACAAACTCTCACTCCCAGCAATCTTTTATAATTCTGCAGCTCCATGCCCTGTCACGCAGCGTGTAAACCCTGTAATAATCTCGTGAACGGAGGAGAACGAGGTGGGAGGGAGGAGTGGGGGGGGGGGGGACTCCATGAAGACAGAAGACCCAGAAGAACAGTGAGGCCAACATGTTGTATTAGTTCCCAGATTTCTGAGGCATGCAATCCACGGCTGCCTCCATTTGGCCCAAACCACTAGCAGATGAAAATACAAAACAGGCTACAACCTACGATAGGCCGCAGCAGAGAGCGCCAGGGAGTGATGTCACCCCAGAGGAGCAGAGGAGTCACGGGGGAGGTGGTGGTGGGGAGGGGAAGGTAGGGGAGCGGGGAGGTAAATAATTCAAACTATTGCTACATACAGTAAGTATAAAATTCCAGTTTGGCTCAGAAAGGTTTTTAAGAGGCCGACCTTTCACCTTATGTACTGCAGATTCAAATTACCTTCATGGTAAAGCAGAGCCACAGTGGTCACATGACTAAGCACACTTAGCTTGGACTTAGCACAATATACAGCACGGTGCTAATGTTTGAGGCAGGTGTGTAGATTTAGGATAGAATTCTTTTTTTCTCAGCTTTTACTTTTATGGTTATTTAATAAATATAAATGATTTTCCAGTCATCTTTGACCATTTGGGGCCATTTAATAAATGGAGTCAATTGTATATACTGTATATATTTGAATGTGGCTTTTGAAAACGCTCCAGAAAACTGGGTGGCCTTGTTTCAAAACATCTCAAACTTAAACCAGAACCCTCCATTTTCCAAACACATCCTGAACTTTGGCTCAAGATGTCAAGTCTGGGTCGAAGCTATGTTTTGTGTTCATATCATATCTCAGCAAAAAAATAAAAATGTAGCTGCACTCTTCCCCAAGGTCAATGACTGAACCATGGGAAACTGGGCAGGTGGGATTCCTACCACCGTGGTTCTCTGGCTGGCACTGGAACTAAACGGGAGGGTTTGTGTTTTTCTCTCTGAAGGAGAAACTCTAAAGAAGAGAGAAAAGGAAATGGAATCTCTTATCACACACACCAGCCTTTAACAAACAAACACAGACACACAACTAAACGGAGGACACACAGGCAGACACCGAGCGGCCGCCTCCTCCAGCACCACCCGCATGTGCTGCTCTCTCTTCAAATCAAATGAAGCAAACATCAGGAGGAGGCGTGCGACAAAACCAGCCATGGAAAACCCACATGGAAGAGGAACCAGTGCTAATCTTGGGAGAACAAATGGTTTCAATTGAGGTACAGCTACGAGCAGTGTGTGAAGAGGAACTTTAAAAAAATGAAAAATAAATTTAAAAAAAAGTTCACATTTATCCACGACACGAGGTTTGTTTTAGAACAAAATGCAAAAGGGGGAAAAAAAAAAAGACAAAGTCAGCAAACTCAACACAGTTGGGCTGCATTAGAGCTGGTTCGCTGGTTCCTGAGCTATGAAATTATTATCCGCCGCTTACATGGCCAATATAACTGTTGTTTTCCCAAATTGGACTTGGAGGCATTGCGATCGGGAGGAAACTCACCCACAACAAGGCATGACGAGGAGATAAACGCTGATTTCAGAGGATAAGATACCGAGAGGGTATTTATTTTCAGCTCTCACAAGTTCGCCCCCCCCTTTTTTTTTTTGGCTGACTATGGAGGAGTGCAAAATGAAACACCCGTGCATGACTGAGTGACTCCAGAGAACATCAGAAATGAGGTAATCCACACCACATGCTCAGCACGCTAACAGTAAACGCCGGCTTTAGCTAGCGTTTGGCAAAAGAGCAGGTTTGAAAAATATGATGTAGAAATTGTTTATTCAGAACTATATAAAAAGAAATGTACTCTGGAGATGTTCAGCTGTGGCATGTATTAAAAAAATTTAAAAAAAATAAATAACAAGAGCCTCCGGTTTGTAAAATGATTTTTTTTTTCTTTCTAGTTTTGTAAATTCAACTTCAAAACAATACTTCAAAAAGCAGAGGAGAGGAGAAAACAGGAACCCAGTGCATTAGCTGTAATTGAACAAAAGAGTGTGTCTGCTGGGAGGTGGCCACTACGGCCCCATGGGAAACGGGGCGGGGCCTAGAGAGAGAGCCTGGTGGCATCTCTGTGGGAAAAGGCGGGTTATTTATAATCACAGGCCCACATGGAATTAATACACACCTGATATCACACACAACACAACACACAAACACACACGTATGTATATATGTGTTTATGTTTTTTAAATGCCTCTTAGTTTGGATTCAATATTGAACAATCTGAGTTTCTAATTTTAACTGATATATTTGAGGAAAACGTTGTTTTTTGTTGTTGTTTTTTTTGCTACATGAATCGATAGTTGCTCGTAGGGTTGTGTTTTAGCAAGAATCTGACGATTCGTTACGTATCACGATACGAGGGCAATGATATTTTCTTACACCCCAGTTGCTTAGTCAACTTTTATTTACTCTTTTATTCTACTATGATGTACTTCAGAGCTCACCAGTAAACGTGACTTTTTTTGAAACTATTTGATTATTTACATTTGACTCTTTCTGTTCAAATTTTGACTTTTGACTCTAACTAGGGGCCAATTTTTTTACATTTTCTGTTCTATGCTAAAAACAATTACAACACCGTGTCAGAGCGTTTGAGAAGGTTAGTGACCAACAGTTTGAACAAACAGCTTCTACAACAACAACCCATCAACACTGTAAAAACTATGACGACAACAAGACAGGAGCAGCTGAGGTACTCAGATAAATAAAAGTGTTTCAAATGTTTTAATTTTGATCAAAGTGCATCATTTTGCAGAATAACAAATGTTTTAATTTTGATCAAAGTGCATTATTGTGCTATATAACCGTTCATCGTCGTCTGACTTCAACGTAGTGACAAAGAAGCTGCTGTTTTGGAGAGTTCTGGCCTCCTCAAAGGACGCTTCAACTTCTCCGCATTATCATAACATGCACACACTAATAACTTCTTATCTACCTTTTGTACATACATACCGCTGTACTGCAACACACACACACACACACCCTCACAGAGTCCCTATTTGCCTAAGTACACACCTTGACCACAAGACACACATTGACAAATGAAACACACGCTCACACCTTCAGCTCACAAAGACGGTGAACACAGGTGTGTGTCTGTGCTTTGACAATGTGTGATATTTAGAGTCGTCAGGTGACCCGCTGCATAAACAGGACGCACAAAGAAACACAGAAAAAGAGCTTTTCTTCTCCACACCAAACACTGACTCCCCAGATCCCTCCCCTGCGATGAGCCGGTACTGTAGTCACCCCACCCTGTCCCTCTCCTCCGTGCAGGATGTATGTTCGATTCAGAGCTTAATTGTTTAGTAACTTCAATTTTCCACTTTTTTTTTTTTTTTGCAGCCCAGCTTTGGCTGAACTTCTTAAATCTGCGTCTGCGTTCGGAAGGGAAACCTGATTGTGAGCCATGCATACTTTTTTCTTTACCTTTTTTTTTTTCCTCCTCTCTCTCTCGTCCCTGCACCACCCTAATTCACCATGAAAAGATTTTCCTCGCTGGAAATTCTGATTCCACTATGATCGGTGAGGCATTCCAATCCAATGCATTCTCATTGTGCTGCATCTAAGATGCGAGGGGCGGGGGGGAGCGATGGGGGGGAGGATTCCCTCTCTGTCGGTGCCAGGCTCCATATCATACAAGCGCTCATGCAAGAAACGCTGCCCTGCCAATTCATTTGCAATAATAAAAGAAAATGTTTAAGGTTGTTGAGCTTTAGCTCGCCGCCCTCCCTGCTTCCTTCCTCACGGTGAAATGTCTCTTTGTGACGATGGATATTTACTTTTCGCTCGGTGCCAGGGAGCGTGCAGGGAATAATCGTATGTGCATACTTAACGCCACAGACATAAATATCCAAATAAACCCTGGCTGGCTGACACACACACACACACACACACACACAGTCACAGACACACTCTTCAGTGGTGGTACATCTGAATCAAAGATGACAGTTGGCCAACTCCATCCCCCAAAATTCCTCGGTGCAGCTGTTCCGTGCACAGATGTATACAGAAAGGTGCGTAGACATGACGTTGAAAAAAAATAAATTTAAATTTCATTAGAATTGGTTCTCTTCCTAAAAAATACTTGTGGCATTTAGTAAATTCTTATTCTCAGTTGACGCACATTGATGGTAAATCATGGCATGAATCACAAACATGAATCAACATCTTGCGTGACACACATGCTAGACCAAACCATTAAGGGTTGGTGTGTCATTCCTCAGCTGTTTTTTCAGCCATTATCACATTGTTGTGGACAGTCAACCTGTGTAGTTAACACAGAAAATCTTTCACTGCTGCATCATCAAATTAAAATCTAGCAGGACAGTAATGTTTTTTGGGGGTTTTTTTGTGGCCTTGTAAAAACCTGTGAACATAGGCAGAGAACCGGCGGCCAAGCTGTTCAATGGCAAACCCCTGTTTACTTTACTTTTCCACTGTGACTAGACGGAGCAGAAGCAGGATCTGCCCCTCTGATAACCAGCCAGGCAAGTGTTCGTCCAACTACGTCGTCTTCCTCCACCCCGCTCCTCCCCTCGCTGCAATATCAGTACTTCCAAAATGAAAAGAAGGGGCTGATAATGGTATGCACAGTACAAAAAAAAAAAGAACCCCTCCTTCATTCCTTCCCTCCCTCCCTCCCAGTTCTGCACTCCCCATTCCATAAGTCTTTACAATAGACAAAGAAAAAAAAAAGAAATAACCTTATAATTGCTGCAGGGGCTGAGGGAGAAAACTGGATTTGGTCTCTTGAGTAGGTAAAGTATGCTACACCGAATAGCCGTCAGGTACTCACTCTGCTGGCTTTTTAAAACTGGTGGGTTAACCTCGCAGTCGAGCTGA